ATGTTGCTTCCGCGTTTGAGATCCGGGGCTTTTCAAGAAACATCCAGGGCTTCAGCCCAAGTAGCCGGGCCTAACGCCGCCCTTGCTAAACACCATCTTCATCTGCTGTTATTCCGTCCCAAGATGAAGGACACTTCAAGATTTTAAAATAATAATTTTAAAATAATAATTTAATAAACTGTTTACTGTTTATTACGATCATATAATAATCATAAATAATCATCTTGGTTCATTATAAATGTGTTTAATTACTGAAATGACTTATTATTCTTTGGATTAATAATAATTATTATTTATGATAATCAGTAATGTGTGATCATCAACCAGAAGGTCATTGGCACGTGTACACATCATGCAGAGGGGCTGAATTCAGGGTAAAGTTAACCACCTCACATGTCTTTGCTCCATAACATAAAGCTTTCTGACGCTGAGAGGGCGTGTTCTGAGGTTTTGTTAAAACCAAATCTCCGCAGCTGAAGACCAGTTCTTGAACCATCCCAGAGGACGAGGGTCGGCCGCCTGACTCCTCACTAAGCGTTCTGTCACGCCGATAGAATCGCTCCGAACAAACGCCACCTGTAACCAGCTGACGCAACAACTCCTTCAGAGTTATTGATTTTGAGAGGCAAATAGTTTCATCAGTCGTTGTGACCCGGAGACATCTCAGGACCGTTTTGGTCGCACTAAGGTCCCTCTACCAACCTCGTGCCTGGAGGACATCATCTCCACCTGACATCTCGGATCCACAGAGGGTCTCCTGAACTGGGTGAGGTGGACTTCCCGACAGATGGCGTCTGTATGCTGTTCTCTCTAAGAAATACCAGTTAGCTGCAAAACAACGTTTCACCCAGAACGCTTTCTCTCTCTGAAAGAAACCTTCTGAGATTCATTCACGCATCCAAACCTCGCATTTCATTTTAGCTTTTCATTCAGACACAGGTAAAGCTTTTAATAACAAGTTTTAATATCAAGCTGTTACAAATGGTCATTTTTCAAATTGTAATTTTTAAAAGTGTTAGTAATAAATTCATAACTTTCTAAACTTGACTCTTCTTTGAAATGGAACACAGAATGGTGTACAGGTGATCCCTCGTTTATCGCGGTAGATGCGTTCCAGACCTGGCCGCGATAGGTGAAAATCCGCGAAGTAGGGACAACATATTTACAGTACAGTACTATATTGAATTATCATATGATCACATTCTCTTTTTGTGGGTAAAACTCAAGAAAAAAATTTTTTACTTGTTTTTTTATAGTTTTATTACAAAAAGTGCATTTTATGATGAAATTGATGAAAAAAAAACAGGAATTTCTTGATATTTCACATAGAAAAATGCCGCCAATCGGTGAAAAATACCGCAAATCGGCGAATTTCCCTTGAATAAGCCTCCAAAGAAAAAATCAGCGAAGTCGTGAATCCGCGATAAACGAACCGCGAAGTAGCAAGGGATCCCTGTATATTTGGTTGTTGAATAAGCAAAGATTCCTTTAAGCTCCTGATTAAATAAATGAACTTTTGCTAAAATTTAATTATCTTAAATTAATCTTTGGATTAAATATAGACCAAGCTCGTTGGCGTATGAACTTCTGTCGAATATGTAATATCCTAAATATTTATATATGATAGAAGCTTCATTTGCTAACTCGTTTGATCTTCTTCAGGATCCAACAAAGCTGATAGCAAACAGCGTTAATTCTAGTGTGTAGATTGCCAACTCTACAAACTTAAATCGTAATCTGTAGATTATCCAACATGACTTGGTTTTAAATACAAGTCTCATCTTTCCTAAAAGGAACCCTACCACCTTGTGTGAGAGCTTTAAGCTAAGATCATCTGATGTTGAGAGATATGAAGCTGTGAATGAATGAATGAAGATATGAATCGTTGTGGCTATACCCTGAAGGTAAAATAATAGGAGAAATTTAGATTTAAACTAAGATCTCATATTCTCTTCTCTAGTAATCAGAGGTTGTGTCATGAATGGCATCTGTGATATGATATCGTGATCTATAAAAATCCCAAACTGCTGTTTTTGTGTTGTGGTCATCTTGTATTGGTCTTTGTTTTCTATCTAAATAATAAACAATTCAAAGCACTTTTAGGAACATTGTTGCTTTTTTAAAGGCGTATTTCACTGAAAAAACATTTTAAATTATTATTTCTGATGATAAGGGATCACTCTGGAGTGTTTCATGCAGGCTGAACATGAAAATAGTCTCCTACACCTATCTCCTGCATTAGCTTCTGATAGAAAACAGATGGTGAAATTCCAGGATTAGAAAAGCCGGACAGATCTACGTCACACTGTCACTAACATTTAGGGCTGCACAATATATTGTAAATATATCGTTATCGCGATATCAGCATGCACAATATGCATATCGCAAAGAACAGATAAATATCGCAATGAATGGTCAGCTCAAATGTTTGCTACACATAATGCATTCTGTCAGTCAAACGGAAGTATTATGTTTTTTTTAACAAATCAAATAGAGCTCTTCACTCATTTGGCCAAATGAGTGGGTTCTCATAGGTTAGATGCCTGCCCTCGAGGCGGAAGGCACTTAATTTTGATGGTTAGCAAACACCCGAGTTAGCTTTGTTTAGTTCTTTTTGCTGATTCAGCTTTTCCCTGGATCCACTGTTTGCCCTTTCTTGTTCATTTTCTTTTTCCCTTCCCTCACATCTTTTGCTTTCCTCATTTTAATGATTTTTTAAAATTTGTTTTTGATTATTTTTGTTCCTCTTTTTATTTATCGCAAGTAATATCGTCATCGCAATATTAATCATTGTTATCGAACATCGTAGGTTTTCCTTATATCGTGCAGCCCTACTAACATTCATGGACTCACCCATCTGGACTCGTGACGGGGAAGGCTGTTGTTGGTTTAGCATCCAGGAAACGGCAGAGAACGTCTCAGCTCGTAGAGGCCAGAGATGGAGAATTGTGGCATCAACCAGTCATCTTCATGCCGTGTTTTTCTTCAGTTCAGCAACAAAACCAGGTGAGTTCAATCAGCACAGTGAATGAACCTTGTTTAGTTGGTGAGCAGAACAAAATCACGACATGGAGATGACTTGTTGATGCTACAATTCCCATCTCTGGTAGATGCTAACAATTAGCATTAGCAACTCCACCACACAGCAGAACTTCTCACGGGGAGGTACATTCATGGACTGTTTCGCTGCCGTGCATCGGCCGTGAAAGTGGGGGAGGGGGGTAATAATAATACATTTTATTTATAAGCTCCTCACAAGACTCTCAAGGTTGCTGAATGTATGTAGTGCTGTAATGGTTGCAGAACGTTTAGCTTCGGAGCGGGGGGTGGGGGGGTGTCTCCCATTCTCCTGTGAGAGCGAGTGGGGGTGGGGGTGGGGGGTCATGGCGCAATCCCACGCAACACTATTCCTTCAGGCTTGTGTTATTTATGGAGATAAAACATCAAAAATGCAAAGCAAACCGAGTCTGTGGTAGAGTCACGTTGCTGTTAGCCAATCAGAGTTGAGATGTCTAAATATCAGGTAATAAGACTCCAAATCCAGCTACCTGAAGCTCAACTCTGATGTGGCTCACGTCTAGTTCCTGAAACTGGTGCACCAGAGTCACTTACAAGGCATTAAATCATATTAGAAACCACTGCATTGATGAAACAATTCAATTTTATTTATATAGCGCCAAATCATGACAAGAGTCGTCTCAAGGCACTTCACATAAACATTCCAATTCAGGTCAGTTCATTAAGCCAATCAGAAAAAATGTTTCCTATGTAAGGAACCCAGCAAATTGCATCAAGTCACTGACTAGTGTCAGTGACTATACAGCAATCCTCATACTAAGCAAGCATTTAGCGACAGTGGAGAGAAAAACTCCCTTTTAACAGGAAGAAACCTCCAGAGGATCCTGACTCAGTATAAGCAGCCATCCTCCACGACTCACTGGGGATGGAGAAGACAGAGCAGACACACACACACGCACGCAAGCATGCGCGCACACACACACACACACACACACACACACACACACACACACACACACACACACACACACACACACACACACACACACACACACCAAGCAATTTGTCTATGGTTACATTGTGAACATTGTGAACAAGTGTTCTACGCCTTTAAAATCACCAGATGGTGTTTATAAATCATATTTGTTTTTAACACCAATTCACAGTGGAGTCAATAGAAACTGGTCAAAGATCAATACAAATAATTCACAAACATTAACTGGTGTTTAAAATGTTGTTTATAGTCCGACATGTGAAATAAAGATATTTGTTTTCAAATGAAGAAAAACCATCTTGATTGGTGTTGATCCTCAGCGAACCGTTGCAGAAGCTCACATGAACTGATTTCAGTAACCTTTACAGACCAATGGTCTACAGTCTGCAAGAAAAGAAAAATCAAGTATCAGTTTGAGATTTGGAATAGTCAGATTTTTAACCAGAATAACCTGGAATGGAATCTGGTTATAAATGTCAATCTAATGATTTTGTTCTGAGAGAGGGGTGAAGAGCATCTGTGCCTGAGATCAGTGGACTCAATGGTCTTCTTAGTGGTATGACCTTCTTCATCACTCTCTCGTTCTGCTCTCCTACTTCACCTTCCTCAGGATCCACTGATTTCCCTCTTTCCCGTTAACTCTCTCTCGTTCTTTACATTTTTATCACAATTATCTATTTTTGCTAATTTTAAACATATTTTAATCTTTTTCAAAAATTTGTTTTATACTTAATTTTTTTTGTTTTTGTGATGCACCTCGTGATTTTCATCTTGAGAGGTGCTATAGAAAAGATTGTTTCTTCTTCTAGAATTTTGACTTTCACAGAATTGCTCAATCTCAGTTATTTGTCCTCTAAACATTACTTGTGCTTTAGTTTAATCGTTGCCACACACACACACGCACACGCACACGCACACACACACACACACACACACACACACACCTCCGTGACAAAGTGCTTCCGGTGAGGCCTTTGTTTTGAAAGTCCTGATAACCTTTGTTCCGGTTAGCCGACGGCAGCTTGACGTAAAGACGGACTGAGGCGTGAGTGAGTTTGTTTTTGGGCTCGCTTCACCGGAGAGAAGCTGTCCTCTCTTCCCGCCGGTGGCACACGGAGGCACGCGCCCTGTGCCGTCATCCCGGTCTACCGTGTTACCGGGGTTAAAAACAGCCATGACGTCGGTGTGGAAGCGGCTTCAGCGGGTCGGGAAGAAAGCCTCAAAGTTCCAGTTTGTTGCCTCATTTGAGGAACTGATATTAGAAAGCTGTAAGAAATGGTGAGTAGGCTGTTGTTACCGTCTGTAGGTTGTCCCCGTGCGGCTCTGGTATTGGATCTCTGTAGTTTTACACACAACGGTCATTAAAGCTAATTTGTTACGTTTCCACAGCGGAAGTTCATGTTAGGAGTGTTTTAAATGGAAACCTGAATATGTTCAGTCAGATTATACTTTACAGCCCAGAGGTCAGGTCTGGTTGGAGGAATAAGGCTTTTCCCATCAGCTGGCATCAGGGATGATATCACAGCGGATTTATTGACCCGATCCCAGCGGAACACTTCCGCATTGGTTCCTCTGGATCCGAGTAGCATCAGCGGGGTGTGGCAGCTCCGGCACCCAGGCCCAGGCACCAAAACAAGCGTTCACTCATGGCCTCGTGGTCTGGGCAAGAATACCCACTTTATCTTAACACACACACACACACGCACGCGTGCACACGCACACACACACTCAAGTTCTCTGTTCTCGGTCTTTCTTCCTTCTTGTTGGGCTGCCATTCAGGGGTCACCTCACCAGTGTTGGGCAAGTTACGTCAAAACTGTAATGCATTGTTTATTACTTGTTACCCTCATTTTAAAGTAATTCATTACATTACAATGCTACTGATTTTAAAATGTAAGGCATTACACTACTTTTGCATTACTTTAAGTTACTTTCACCATTACAACTTCAACATGAATCTGGTAATGTGATGCTCAGTGAGCTCATGACATATATGTGGAAGGTGATGTGGTGTCTGAGCTAGGATTGCTGTTAAAAACAGTCAGATATAATAACAGTGCTTTAAAATGATTGTTTATTAAATAAAAGCAACAACAATCTGTACTCTCAGCACGCTGCCATCTTATAGGGCCATCTGAGCAGGGAGTGAGGTGGTGGGGGCTCCAAGCCTTTATTTGCCTTGGTCCCCAAATGCCGTGATACGGCCCTGGATGTGGGACTGACTTCTGGGGTGATCTGATTCTATCACATATATAAATATTAAATGCTTATATATTATTGCTTTTCACTGGTAAAAATGTGTATTGGGGATAAATCTACCTACTTTTTACTTTTCAAGCACTTTGTTTTGTTTTCTTGATTTTATTTGAATAATTTCCGGCCCTTTCTCTCTCTAACCTTCCTGCATGCTGCATGTTTTCTCCGTCTTCCAGAAAAACTGTAAACTAGATTTCCCACTTTCTAACTAATCAGCCAAAGGGATCTACCGAACCAGCAGCAATGAGTTGAAATCACCGGAGCACAGATTATGAACTCAGCTGAAAAGTACATGAAGTACCAGAGAATATGGGCTGATATAAACAATCACAAACGAATTACTTTGTTTTGGTGGAGCGATTTTGTGAATATAACAGCGGCCGCGCGCAGGACGCAGCTGGAGTATTTGATCAGTCACCGCTGCGTCCTCTCTGCTCATAGAATGCCCGCAAAGCTGAGTCCATAAATGACGTCATATATGTGGATACTGGATCTTTTTTCAGGCTTCCCGCAATTTGAATTTTTACGAAACCCACATCTTGGTTCTGGGTTTAAAAGTGCCTTGTAATTACCGCGTTACTGACAATTGTACCGAGTAAATATTACTATTTCCTTTCCCTGTAATGCCTTACATTACCACATTACAGCGAAAAGCAATGCATTACAGTAATTAATTACTTTTGTCCCGCATTACTCCCAACACTGACGGTAAACCATCCGTCTCCGTTTAGTTCTGTCTTGTTCAGCTCTTAATCATCAGATCATCAGGCTTCTGCAGAGCCTGATGATCTGATGAACAGGTGATTCATCCACTGAATCACGAGTGTGAACAACTAAAACAAGCTGGATACGGGCCCTCCAGGACCAGGGTTCCTCAGCAGGTCTTTGGACTACTTAGACTTGAGCTTTTCTTTCAGACGTGAGCAGATAGAGATACTTTGTGATTTATTTAGAAGAATGATGCATTTGCTGTTTATTGAATGGTGGACTGCTCTGTTCACTGACATCTGTAGAGGTGAGTATGCCACTCTGATTGGTCCTAGACAATCTTAGACTCCGCTATTGCTTTGTAAAGTTTGGTCTAGGAAGCCCTAGCAGCATTCTGGCTGGCCAATCACAGCTCTCTATAGGGGTTTCAAACACATAGTGCGCTGTGATTGGTCCACAATGGTGGGACAATCACAGCACTCTATCCACTTTGTGGGCCAATGGGGGCCCTCTATTCGTCTGGTGGGCGGGATGATGCAACAGGGTGGAACAAGATGGCGACAGCTCGTTTGACACAGCTTTTACACCAATTTTGTAGTATTTGGACTTGGGCTTTATTACAATCAGGAGCAGACAGATGTATTTAAGTTGGGTTTTTTTTTAGGAAAAATTATGTATTTTTGCCTTCTTCAACAGCAGACTGCCTTGTTTACCGATATTCGTTGCAGTGAGTATGTCACCTTGTTTGTTGTCAAGTCAGATAGACTAATTACAGGCAAAGCCAGATATCTCAATCCTTTATTTGTCATAACTGTGATGATTATGGTGCACAGCTTATGAAAACCCCACGTTCAACATCTCAGACCATCAGAATCTTGTGAAAAGGGTCAAAGTGCCACACTCTGATGAGCTGATGAGTCCAGAACACATGCAAAGGGTTCCTGGGCCTTTAGATGGTCTCTCACTCTAAGATTTACTGAAATAAATCGACTTTTGTGCCATATTCTCATTTTTGAAGTTTCGCTCATATACACCTTTATTTATACACGGTATTCCACTTAGACATGATCTCCCTCTCAAAGAGAGACAAACAGAACCATGATTTTCAAAAAGTGGCCATGCAGAATCTGGATAATACAGTAGTCACGGTCCCTATTTAATCAGAGAAACTGTAAAGGAGTGGACCACCTTCGGAAAGATAAAACCTGGAGGTGTTTTGCAGACTGAGAGATTAAACTTTGAAAATCGATTGAGTCTATCTTCAAGAAACTAGAAGCTGTAGCTCCTCAGAACATCTAGCCTAGCTCCTAGCCTGGACTTCCCTTCTTACACCTCTGACAGAGGAAAGCATCTGCTAAATACACAATCATACACCTTTATGACTCAACAGATCTTTTACCAGTCTGGATTATTGCTGTTCCTCAGGTTGGATGTTTCTCTGTTTAAAAAGACTTCTTTTTAAATCAAGGACTGTGTTGTTGGCCAGGATCAGTCAGCTGGCAGCTCTCCAGGCCTCCTTTGGTCTCATCTGTTTGTACAAGTTCTACGTGACGCATCCTCGCGAGTACCAACATGTCTTACTGTTGGAAGTTAGAGACCTTATGTCAGTGGTAGGGTTGTCACGGTGTGAAAATGTAACCTCACGGTTATTGTGACCAAAATTATCACGGTTTTCGGTATTATCGCGGTATTTTTTTTAAACGTGCTACATTTTCACACAATTAAATAAACCCTGTATGTCAGGAAATATTGTCCTCAGTTTGTGTCTAAATTTTGCCTAAAATGTGTTATTTTGTAATTATGTTGTTTATTTGTTTACATTTTTCCCCTTTAGTCTTTAAAATACCAATATTTGCCCATAACTTCTTATTTTATGTCTGTTTGATGTCATCATTTAAAAATATTAGATCAGGTGATACTCAGTACTCAAGTAGCCTTCTAATCAGATACTTTTTTACCCTTACTTGAGTAATAAACCCTATATCAGGAAAATATTGTCCTCGGTTTGTGTCCTTCCAGTGAGCTTTGCAGATGTGGGAAAATGTCATCAGGCAGTAATCGTTGTTAAATTCTTAATTATTCTCGGAGAGAGACCAACTCTTATCTGCCCCTGGGAGCCCCATAATGCATAGCGTCATTTCAACATGGCGGTGTCCGCGACACGGTTTATATGCAGGTAGCGGCGCTGCGGCTGCTTTATATAGCGACTCGTTGCGTTCTCCCTCAACCCAAATCCTCGGATCACGCATTTTAGCTAAAACGCTAACGTTAGCTTGCCTTGCGTTGACTGTAGAGTTGTGGGTGATGGTCACGCAGATGTGTCATGAGATTTGAAGCGTTGCTGCCTTTCACAGACACTTTTTCTGCACGTGCTGCAAACAGGATAGCCGTCTTCTATCAACTGTCCCTCGGCATTCTTCAGATATCCAAAAGATGCCCGTACTTCCCACTTTGTCTTCTTTGAGGGATAATAAATGTCCTGAGCGCTGCCATCTCCTCCTTTGGCCGTTATTTCAGCTTTAGCTTCCAGAAAGTTTTGGTTGTAAACAACAAAGTGCGCATGTGCCGCCGGCAACTTCAGCAGATGATACGGTGGCTGGTAAGGGTCACCGCGCCTACACCGCAGCCACGGTAACCCACCGAGATAATATATGGTTTAAAAAACAAGACGGTTATTATTATTGTCAACTTTTTTACCGGGGTTTACCGCTACACCGGTTACCGTGACAACCCTAGTCAGTGGTCTGCAAATGGCGGTCCGCAGGCCACGTCTGCCCCGCGAGCCCTCTCTTTGTGGCCCCCAAACCCAGCGCGCACCCCCCACCCTCGACGGCCGACTGGGAGGTGTAGGATAGGCTGAGGAAAATAATCAAATAATCAATGCATCGAGATGCAGGCATAAACGATTCTGCATCATAGAAGAGCAGCCATAATCAGTTATAGTGGAATGTAGTTTTGTTATTTTAACGGCGGCACCAGCGTGGCATCCACATCTGTCAGAGCGGTGTTCTCCACGTTTACCGGGTAGGAAACGTTGGTCTGCCTTATTGTGGTACTGCAGGGTTGAGCGCTGGAGTTGTAGCCTGAGACCGAACCCGAACCGAATCAGCCCAACCGGTTCTGTTGGATTTGAGCCGTGAATTATGTTAATTGAGCGGGTTGTCGCACGGCGCGCTCCGCTCGCTCGATCAGCGACTGAGACAGAGCGAGAGATTGTTTGCTCACACAAGAGAGAGGACCGGAGGACGCTCCTCCAAACACGCATTATTATTTTCATAATTTCATTATTGTTTCTCCTGGAAGCGCTCAGTCAG